CCAGATGCCCGGATGCTCGGAAAATTTTGTAACGTAATGTCACGAACAAATCGTCAGCTGAAGCGAACAGCGTTGCCAAGTTCACATCATAATCTGTGTTCACATTTAATTAATCCGCTTTAGTATACGGATACATATGTATGAAACCAATAAAATGCAAGTAAATAAAGGATCATGCTGCATTTTATTATAACTAATTTTAATAATTGTATTAACTTAGTGCAAAATGTTTTAACAAGCCTTACTTCTCGAAGTCAACTTTCGTTAAAAGAAAATAAATAAAGCAGAGGTTTGTAGGCACACTGAATTTTATCAAATAAAAAAAAATCGGCACACTAAATACCCGAATATACAAAATACACTACACACGGTTACAAAACCATTACCTAACAGTTTAAAGCGTTTATTCAAATCTACCACCCTCCATATCTCCCGCATTTATCCCGCAAATGAGTTAACATAACACATTTTAAAAAGTTCAAGCTTTAGAAGCAGCTGATTTCCCCAATCGTCTTGAATTTTGCAATTGGTTCCTAAGTGCAGCAGAACTTTATTAACAAAGTGCTCTGGACGGATGAATGCTATTTTACTCGTGCTGGCATTTTAAACAGGTAAAAAACATAAGTATTGCTTTCTCAAAGACAATAAGTGCCTACCTAGGTTACACCAAAGTTTAGATTTACACTAAAGTTTACATTTATTATGTAAACTTTGGTTATACGCAATTGCATATTGAATAATAAACTGAAATACTAAAACTGTATTATTTAACATAATAAATTATAAAACGTGAAAACGTTAATAATATTAAAAATTATAAATTGTAATTAACCGTACATTCGAAAACAATCATCATCCCTATTCATTGGTGACACGATTTTCCTTTGATAAAAGACCGACAACTCTTTGCTCTACGTTGCATGGAATACGATCCTAGTAAAGTGCACACGTGCAAATTAGAAGGTTATTGACCTCGACACAGGTTGACCTAAGTCGGAAATACGTACCGNGTCTTTATATGAGGGAAAATATATAAATATGGCAACGTTGCATCTAGGGCACCTTGTTCACATCGTAGCCGTGCACAATATTGTGAACGTCAGCCGGTCAGTAACAGCCTGAAAAGGGGGTTAAATAATGATTTGAAAATATTTTTTTTCAGCTTAAATATGCATTTAATTTGTTTAATCACGCCATCGTGTTATACTCATTTTTCTCTATCTGCTCTTAAAATTAATGACATGACTGAATCACTATATGTATAAATAGCCAACACATCCGGTGAAGCTTCCGAGTATAAAATTTGACTCACCGCGATAGATAGTTCTATTTGTTTTTTTGAATTTGTTTGCTTTTTTAATTTTGTATTATTTTGTTTTGTTTTCCATTTTTATTATTTTTTATGCGTCTTCTTATTTTTATTTGAATAATCAAAAGATTGGACTACTGAACTTAGGAATAATACTCAGAATCGACAAAAATTTCATAACGCCCCACCCACCAGGGTCTTATGTACAGAATATAGCTCTTCTTGAACTACTACCATTATGTATAAATGTGACTCCTTTTGGGGACACTGCAGCTCTCTAAAGGTTAAGATGCCAAAAGAATATCATATCCACTATCCCTCTGTAAATGGGGATGGGGGATTTTGAAAAGAAAATTGTATAAGAAAAGTGTATCCACTTATTTTTTGAGGTTCTATCCCAATCATAGAGAGATAGTTTAAGAACATCATGTATAATATTTAAGTAGGCAAACAATACGGCCAGTGAAAAGGTTAGGGCGGATATTTTCAAGCTCATTCCATTTTTTTTTAGTTAAAAGGGCAACTTACGCACTTACGCAGAACATAGTGTTAAGAGTATAGTGTGTGTGTTGTTAGGAAAGAAATGTGTGAAGATAGAATTAATAAGAGTCATCTCAAATGATAAGGGTAAAATGTTTGAAAAATAATAATTACAGAGATGTTACAAATTATGTTCAGGCAAAACAATGATAGGAAAAACTGTTATAGGTGTATTTATACCGATCGAAATAACTCATTTAGAGGGAAAAAAAAAGAAAATTGTTACCTGGTCTTTTACAGGGGTTTATAATAAACGAAAATAAATAAATAAATAAATGCGTGAGCATGGGCGACGGAGGGTTGATTTGGGGGGTTGAAAAGTTATTATTAAAAATTGTATTATTGGGATTTCTGGCAAACAAAAAAGTGTTCAATACAGAAGTTGTAGATCACGCAAAAATCTACAACTTTTGTAGAGGTCACTTTTTAACATAACCTCAAAATTTCCGAGAAAAATGCGAAAAACAGGTTTTTTTCTGATTTTTCGTTTTTTATTTCTCATTTCCGCAAAAATAATTTAATTTTGACGAAACTTGGTGAAAGTATACTTTTCTGTGTCTTAAATAACCACAAATTTTTTTAGATCAAAAAAATTAAAAAGTTTCCGATATATGCATTTTTCCGATTTGAACCACTTTTTCTTCAAAGAAAAATTCTACTTAGAAAAATTATCGTATAGAGTTCTGCCGGTGATAATTTTTTTCATTTTGACATATACTTTTTGGTGAAATAAAAAAATCTGTAATCACAGTTCAAAAACATGCTCAAAAATGCAAAAAAAATGACAGCAATGAATTTTTCAGTAATTGTTGATAATTTGTTTTAATTTAAAAAAAAATCGAAAGACTGATTTACAAACACCATTCAATTGTACGGAAAAAATACAAAAAAAACTGTCTCATTGTTTGACCCAAAACTTTATTTTTGTACAGTATTGCTATAAACATAAGTCGTATAGTGAATAAATAAAATAAATAATTTTTTTCCCGTAGGATCGATTAGTGTACTTATTTTTTTTAAATTTTGTTGAATTCATAGATATACAGTGTGTTCAAGATAAGGATAGGATAGCATTAGGATCTAATAAACGGTAAGAGATACGATGTGGCTCAGATTAGAAAGATTGTGTTTTTTTATACCTAACAATATGCCGTTTAGAAAGTTTTAAAATTCCGGGTACTTCCGGAGATATCCGGAAAATCCCGAAATTTTGCAAAATTGTAAAATTTTTTATTTGAAAACGAATCTCAAATTATCCAGAGATAATTTATCATTTGTGCATTCGTAATGTAATTGTCGTTTGTGTAATTCGACTTAGATGTTTATAGCAATACTGTACAATAGCAATACTGTACAATAAAGTTTTGAGTCAAAAAATGACAGTTTTTTTTATTTTTTTTTTCCGTAGAATTGAATGGTGTAATCACTTTTTGATTTTTTTAAATTTAAACAAAAAAACAAAAAAAAAACAACAATAACTGAAAGACTCGTACAGATTTTTTTATTTCACCAAAAAGTAGGTATATGTTAAAACGAAAAAAAATATTACCAGCAGAGCTCTGTACGATGATTTTTTTAAGTAGAATTTTTCATTGAAAAAAAAGTGTTTCAGGCCGAAAAAATGAATATCAGAAACTTTCTGATTTTTTTATCTAAAAAAAATTGTGGTTATTTAAGACACAGAAAGGTATACTTTCACAGTTTCATTAAAATTAAATTATTTTTGCGGAAATAAGAAATAAAAAACGAAATATCAAAAAAAACAGTTTTTCGCATTTTCTCGGAAATTTTGAGGTTATGTTAAAAAGTGACCTCTACAGAAGTTGTAGATTTTTGCGTGATCTACAACTTCTGTATTGAATACTTTTTTGTTTGACGTCAACTTTCGCCAGTAATATAATTTTTAATAACTTTTCAACCCCCCAAATCAACCCTCCGCCGCCCCTGCCCACGCATTTATTTTTTTTAGGTTTATTATAAACCCTTTTACCATTTCCACTTATAAAAATCCAGGTAACAATTTTTTTTCTCCAAGTGTAATTTGTTGAACTAATTGTACATTTTCCGGTCTTGGCAAACTGATATTGATTAATCGATATATTTGAACTTCCTTCTTGGATGAATTTGAATATATTCTTATGAACAACAATTAATTGTATGACTATATTAGTTTTTTCTACCATCCTGTAGGCATATTGAATGGTATGAAATTTGGTAATATGTCACTTTTTTATTTTTGTCAACTTGAAAGATTTTTCAAAATTTGGAAAACTGACAGGCAATATATCGCATACCGATGGAAACTTCGCCGCCGGACTAGACGTGTCCTGCTTCTCGGGGCACAGTCCTTGGTAGTCGTACATCTTGGTGACCTTGTAAATACCCTCCTCCACCAGATAGCTCATAATATCCGACCGTATCTTCCCGAAAAAGTACCCAGTTTCCTGGAGGTGGTCGCTGATGATGACGAATCCATTGTCGTCTAGTAAGACGCAGTGTATTTCCTCAGACTCGCAGGTCCTCTTGCAGGCCATGTCACCACACTGAAAGAAAAACAGAGTTACCGAGACGTCCACGTTTTTCCGTGTCCGGTAATGGAGCTCGGTTATAGAATCAGAAGTGGGATGAACTTACGCTGGTTGTAATTTTCGTAAAAAGCGAATGCAGCGCGCTGTGGTAAAACTGGTAACCAACGACTGCTGCGGGTGCCTTCCTAGATGTTTCCTCTTTGAATATGGCATGGCTTACTGTGACTAAAATGTTGCTCTCGTTTCCTTTTGGAAAATTTGTAGAGGATTATTTAAAATTAGAAATTGGCTTATTTTCATATCAGAAATATCACTCACCAACTTCTTGAGGTACGGAGTAGACAAAGTTGCTGGGGTCGACGTAGTGGTGTTCGACCGCCCTTTTGTACCAAATCTCATCGATCGCCTTGTTGTGGAGGATTCGAAAATTACTGAAAATACATTTTTAACTCAATCGACTTAAGTTTTAATGCGTTGCTACTCACGGTTCGTCCTCGGGGTTCTCAATGTTTTGGGGGAAATTTTGCCACCTAGTTAGGCCACTGTGGGTCGCCATGAAGGCCACAACGATGCCGATTTTCCTAACAAGTTCGGCTCTGCTTGAAAAAGAATTGGTTTATTAACAAAACAGGAAAATATATTTGAAACATTGTAATTTGTATGAATTAGTTGGACAAATGGAAGTTCTGATTGAGGCGGACGAATATGTGTAGATGTTGTAAAAAATATTTAAAGAATTAAAATCTGCACCCTGTGGAAAAAAGAGATATCCTGAGCGGTCTGAAAATGGAAATGTATTTAAAGATCCTTTTTCTAAGCTGCGTGTTGGCATAAAATGGAATGTTACTTAAAAAAATGCAATATTCCTGGAAAAAATTGCTTTGTACAAAATTGCTATACAGTCTGTTTGATTATAAAGGCCCCGGTTACCCATTTTTGCACACCCTGTAAAGTATATACAAGGTGTTCCACCTAAGGTGATTCTTCTGTAACTCTGTAACTGTAAAATTTATAAAAAATGGTTTTAATAAAAGTTGTCTGGAATCATGTGGGCCATGTAAAGAAAATATTTTTAGCTTTACAGGGTGTTCCATTTCGCGTGGGCTCTACATAAGTTTGTTATTTTAAATGGAACACCATGTATATTATTGCGTTTTTGAATTTCTTGGTTAATATTAGGTTAGAGTTTATTAAATGTACATGGTGTTTAAAACTTACAGTTTTCCAGGTAATCAGTTGCTTTTTGAAAAAAATTACGATTTCAGCTCTCTAAATGACGCTAGATAGCGTCTAAACCGCAAAAGTTAAAAACCTGCAGTTTTTACAGTTCGTTTTGACATAAATTACTCTATCTTGTCATCTGCGAGCAAAACATGTATATTATTCAGACCCTAAAATACTGTGACCTACATTTAATAATCTTACTATAGTCTGTTTGGAAATGAAAGAGAGTAATAAAACCCCGAGATAAGAACCGGCCATGGGCGTGGTAATATTTCGTTTCAGGTAATTATCGGGTAACACTAATGCTAACAAAAATGACAGGGATTGGAAAATCGACTATCTACAGACTTTTAAAGGAAACAAAACTATGAACAAGATACTGTAAATCCCCCAAAATCATCTACAGGGAAGTCAAAAGTCGTTATAGATGATTTCTTCAAAAATGTCATTCGCAGAAAAGTACACTCATTTTATTTTATAAAAGAAATACCTACGCTAAACAAAATTTTAAGTGAACTTTCAGAGGACAACGATTTGCCAAAAATCAGTAGAAGCAAATTATGGGCCGTCTTACGAGAGTTGAATTTTTGCTGGGAAAAGCAGAATAGGAAGTCAGTTCTTATCGATAAAGATGAAATTATTTGTTGGCGAAGATCCTACTTAAGATCAATTAGAAAATTCCGTGACGAAGGGAGGAATATTTATTATCTAGACGAAACTTGGGTCAACGAGGGATATACTGTAACAAAAGTATGACAAGATAAAAATGTAAAAAGTTTTCGACAAGCATTTTTGGATGGACTTTCAACAGGGTTCAAGGCACCTTCAGGCAAAAGGCGAAGATTAATAGTGACACATATAGGTAGTGCCAGTGGTTTTGTAGATGGCGGTTTACTTTTATTTGAATCAAAAAATACAGGTGACTATCACGAAGACATGAACGCAGATGTTTTCGAAGAGTATTTTACACAGATGTTGGATCTTATTCCTCCGGGGTCTGTAATTGTCATGGATAATGCCAGTTACCATTCACGGCAGACCGAGCGGACGCCTACGACTGCTTGGAGGAAAGCCGATATAATTCAATGGTTATCCGGAAAAAAACATTTCTTTTGAAACAAATATGGTGAAAAAGAAACTTTTGACACTTGTCAATCTTAATAAAGATCAGAAAAAATATGTTATCGATGAAATGGCAACAAATCGCCAAATAACGGTACTACGGTTATCACTGTGAACTTAACCCAATCGAATTAGTCTGGGCGCAGGTAAAAGTAGATGTAGCGCGAAATAATACGACGTTTAAATTAAGTGACGTGAAAATTTTGTTAAAAAATTCCTTGGAACGAGTAACTGCAGATAACTGGCAAAGATGTACATCATGTACAAAAAGAAGAGGAAAAAATGTTGGAACTCGATAATTTAATTGACGTTACTGTGGAACCTATCGTTATCAATCTAAGAGACGAGGATAATTCATCAGAATATTCAGAGGATGAATTTTAATATACTACTTTTTTATTTTCTTTATTGTACATTTATACAACACTACATTTACTCACCATAATTTGAATTTTCAAAATACATATATTTTTGTGTGGAATAAAAGTCTATATTCATTAAATTTAAATAAATATTTTGATAATAATATTGAATAATTTTATTTGAATTACTAAAAACCCTCTTAACCTGGTTATGATGCTTAAAGTAGCCTCATGTTTTGAAATGCTGTTTTTATATTGTTTACTTGTAAGAGAAATGGACCGAGAAATTGAAACGGCATAGACAAAGACGGATTGTCGGGGATTAAATTTTAGCTACCTGCTACAATTTACTACAGTCCGATCGCACAAAGTTTTGTTAAAAGTACACCTCATCTATACCGATAAAACATAATATAAAAATATTGAATATAAGCACCAGTACTAAATTTATTTACGATTTGCATACATAATAAGCTTTTATTACTCTCTTTCATTTCTAAACAAACTATAGTTGAAAAACTTTTTTTTTCAAATGGAATGACCCTTATTAATTGTCATGGGTTAATGCAAAATTGAATGCCCTTTCGACTGATATAAGGTTGTCCATAGTTATCTTTAACAGTTTACCAGAAAAATCTGGTTCTTTTGTAAAGTCCGAAATAGTAGTTATGTAACAGAATGTTTTTCAACTCGTAAGATTATTAAATGTAGGTCCCAGTATTTCCGAGTCTAAATAACGTACACGTTTTGCTCACAGATGACAAGATAGAGTAATTTATGCCAAAACGAATTGTGAACACTGCAGGTTTCTAACTCTTATGGTTTAGGCGTTCTCTAGCTTCATTTAGAGAGCTGAAATCGTGATTTTTTTAAAAACAACTGATTTTCTCGAAAACGGTTAGTTTTAAACACCATGTACATTTAATAAACTCTACCTAATATTAACCAAGGAATTCTAAAATACAATAATATACAGGGTATTCCATTTAAAATAATAGAGTTATGTGGCGCCTACGCGAAATGGAACACCCTGTAAAGCTAAAAATATTTTCTTTATATGGCCGACATGATTCCGGGCAACTTTTATTAAAACCATTTTTTTAATAAATTTTACAGTTGCAGAGTTACAGAAGAATCCCTCTTAGCTGGAACACCCTGTATATTTTTAAAAGGGATATTATTTTCTTTATACTGACGCACAAATTTTTTTTTTCGTCACACTATATGAATGGTGACGTCATCGATATTTTCTTAAATGGAATTATAGGTATAATTTTTTTACATGTTTTGATAGATGTTTTTTATGCTCTTTCCAACCATATGAAATTTGTATGCCTTTGCATAACGAAATTTTTGAGAAAAAAAAACTTTCAGTCTTTGACTTTAGTTTACGGTGCTCAAAAACATCTTAAATCATTATGTAATTGACAAGCTTACTACAGTTATTTATTTATAAAATGAAGGTCGTGCTACGATATAAACATTTTTTTTTGCAATAACTAGGGGGTGTACCTTTACAATTCTATCAACTCTACAATTTTTTGGTGTAGCAATTCGGGGTAGGAAAGGAGCTTTAACTTTTTTCTTCTAAAATAGTTTGTCAACATTATTATTGCACAAAATAAGTTGTAAATGTAATACAAGTTCATAATTTGCATAAACATTAGTTCCTGTACTATTTTATGATTGTTTTTAAGCCTATGGTACGATTTTTCCTGTTTTAAATAATCAATATTTTATGCTGATAAGTCTGGCTGCTGGTATCAGCTTCACATAAAAATGCTCTAAATAATAAAGCTAATTGAAGATCGCATTTTCGATATGTTTGTCACTATGACATTCTTTTATATCGAACTCCTATAGTGTTAACATATTTCCCCCCCCCCATCAAGACACACACTTTTTTTTATTGAAAACAAACTGAATATACTGTACCTTGGTATCAAAGCCATCAATATAGACATGGGTCTTATTTTAAAAAAAGAAACTTATTAGACTATTTTCGGTTCAAATTAAATTCAGTCATAATTTGAAACAATGCTGAAACTTACCCGTTCTCTTCTTTAGTCGCAGTTGTTATATTTTGGTTGAACCAGGCAGTAATCTTGGCGTCCGCTACGACTTTACAGATCAATTTTCTGTCACCTGAAAATCAATTTGAGGTTAGTTTACAGCGTCGTCAATTGTATTGCTGCATTTGTAAAAGAAAATTAGAATTGGGCTTACATTCTTTTGTCCACTTCCATCCAGGTCCTTCCATCTTCCTCAAAAAATGCAAAAACTCTTCCTCGGGGTTCTCAAAGTATTCCCTGTCATCTAGGTAGCGACAATAATGCCTAAAATAGCGAAAAATTTGAATAGTTTTTAGTTTTTCATCTTTCATTACCGTTTCTGTCAAATCTAAATTTTGGTATTCCGCAAGGAACAACGTTAGGGCTCTAATCATTTCCTACAAACACACATCGCCATTTCGTACTCACCAGTCTGGGTGTATGGTCCAATTCCCGGTGAAGAACTGCGTGAGAGACCCTTTGATTTTATCATTAGACCTTATCCTGTGAATGTCATTCTCTACAGGGTGTTGCACCCTGTTGAAACCGTACTTGTGCGGCAATGCTATCACTAAACTAAACGGGGTGTCTTCTATGCCCATGTAAAAATAGTGCCTGGTCATCAATATTATCCTCCTCTAAAATAAAGATATTTTTTCGAAATGAATTTTATTTTATTTTATTTTTTTTCACTTACCATATCATCTATGTGAGACTTTACTCCGAGGGTGATATTTCCGGTTTCCTGCATTATAACTTTCCTTCTAAACTCCTTGACAACGTCGTCGAAGTCTCTAGGTTCATTTTCGTCGTCCAAAATCTCTACTTCTATCATATCAACTCTGTTATAGGCAGGTTTGAGAATTCCTTGGTACTAGTTACAAAAAAATAGTCATAAATATTTTTTTAAAATAAAGTAAGCATATTTTATTACCACAGGCCTCAGATCTGGATGTGTTAAGATGTACCCGTTATTAGTAACCAAAAATGCGTACCCATTCACCCCCAACTGAAAAAAAAATACTTTAATACCATTATTTAAACATATTTGGTAGTTCATACCGTGTAAGGCATCATCAGTCTTTGTATATATTCTATGGGGACATCCAAACCAGCCACACCCAATAAATTTGCCACCCTCTCCTGCAAAACAAGATAAAATATTATTCAGAGTGTAGTTTTGTCTTCATTTTTTTGTTTTATATGCGTAGGTACTTCTAAATCTAGCATCTACAATCTAAGAAGGTTCTTCTGTTGATAGAATCACTACTACACAGAAACTGGTCACAATCGCCTAAGGATGAACTATAGTTTGTAATCTATCAAAAGTAACGCTGGTCTAAAAATGAAACACTTGTCTAAATCGCTGGCCTAGGGCAAAACGCTGGTCTAATTTCACCAATGGTCTAAAAGTATCGTTCTAAGTACAAACGCTGATCTACCGTAGAGCGCGTAGTCTACAATTGTAACAAATTTTTAATTTGAGTGTACACGCTGGTCTACAGTAGAACGCTATTCTAAACCGTTGGCCTGGCACTAAATATTCACCAATGTCTAAAAAAGAATCTAAATACACACGCTGGTCTACAGTAGAGTGCGTAGCTCTAACAGATTACTCGACGGTCTAAATCGCTGGTCTAAAAAACAAATTTACGCTGACCTAAGAAAGTTTTATTTGGCTTTACCTCTCTGGTCACCGATATCCATATAGCTTCGTTGACTTGTATCTTTTCTGTTATGTTCTGAAGACATATCGTGTTACTATAGGTCTAATGGGGCACTGGACACATCAGAGTGTACCAGTGCGGTCGAGGGACTTACCTGTAGCGGTCGCTTGTCGTACACTGGCAGGGAGACGGACGTCATAAGGTGGTAGGTCTGGGTGTCCCCGTAGTTGTCTTGTTTCTGAAAAAAAGCAGTATTTACTAAATTTTCCACGGGTGTGAATACAGCAACGGTTTTTCAAATTATGATTTTCGTTCATGTGGTAATGCCTGTTAAAGTTTTCAACATTTATAGATTCAAATGACTCGAAAATCGGATTAATATACGGGGAATATATTTCCACTTCTCATACCTAAGGGTGGATGCCGCCCTTACGTGAATATTGTAAATTTATATATTATTTCATGATATCTGTGAAATTACTCTACGTGAATAGCTTAAATTATCCCCTTCTACAAAGTCCTGTATGTTTTTGTATATGCCCGGGCCGTATTAAGGGTGACAGCCACCCTTATGTATAAAAAATGCTTATCATGCATTACCACATAAACGAAAATCATAATCTGAAAAACCGTTGCTGGAAAACCGTTGCTATATTCACATCCGTAAATTTTCCTGTAAATTAAAAAACGTTTTTTTTTAACTGCTCAGAAAATCTTAAAGCAACACAGTACATATTAAAATGACACAGGATATGCATTAAAACTGTGCAGGACTAATTAAAACTACACAAGATTGATTAAAACTGCACAGGATTCATTAAAACTGCACAGGCTTCTAAAATGTACGTTTAAACTCACTGTTTTCTGTTGGTGAACGAACTTCTTGTCGATGGTGTCCGGCGAGAGCAGATGCCTTAATTTGCTGAATCCCAAGAATCTTTCTCTTTGTCTGTTCCTCTCGCGGTTAACCCACAACCAGTTGGTCAATTTGGGGTCGGTCACGTCCGCGTATACGGGACTCCAGGTGGCCTTTGGCTTCCTCGGTGCACTTAACACCATGGGACGAGCCATGACCGGGATGTAGTGTAAGACTTCTTCTCGGACTTCGGCGTAGGTGCTCAAGTGTACATAATAACCTAAAAAGATGTGCGAGATATCTGTAATAGCTATAATTGCAAGAGAAATAAACTATAAAAATAAGGTAAAGATTAAAAGAAAAACGAAAAATGGCTCGTGTCCACCGCTAAGTGTATGTATAATATACAGGGTGTAACTTTGAGTGGGGGTCATATTTATATAGACCTTTGACCTTTAGAAACATGAATCAATTGTTTATTTTTTCAAATTCCGTCCTGAACAATTGTTTTTTAACATTTTTTTTTTATTAATTTTTATACTCCGCCGCTGGACAATCTAGTGTGACCTCAAACAATGACACAACACCGCGCCTTAGTCGCGGCGTATGCACAATTAAGAACTGGGCATTGTTGTCAAATCTTATATTTAAAGGAAAGGTTATTATAAAACAAATTTCCACACCACTCGCCGTGAGGTACAGCTCTTTGGCGAGTTACTTTTGTTGAAAAATTAATTCCTTTAAATAACCTAGCAGAAAACTTCAGCAGCAATCAATAATAATAGATGAAATACTCGAAAATACATAAATAATCTATTTAGTGACCTGATTTTTTTAGTATGAAACTTAAAATTTTGTGGCTAATCTTCGAGTACTGGTATAGTCTTTCCGAAGTCAGTTGAACATGCAAAAAAACGCCAGGCAATAAAATTTAATGACTCATAGGCGTCCCTAAAAAAGTTTTCTGCTAAAGGTAAAAAATTATAATAATTTTGTATATAATGTGTAGAAAATTTCTATTATATGTTAATTTGGCCAACAACATATTTTAATTATTTATGTGCTCAAATAATTTTATTATATTGATGGTAAATAGAAGGTGCCTATAAAAAATTAAAATTACCTAAATCATACCAAATTCCGCATTGCTGCACTGCACTGGTGGGCAATTTGTCAACCACTTGTCAAAAGATGAGATTTATTATCCAGTAGCCCAATGCAGTTGTGTTTGATTTCGTTTGCCCGCGATCGCATTCTTCAACTGGGCGTATACATTTCTACCACCTCCATGTTTAGTTCGACCAGACTTGTAATATGGGAACAAGTTTTTCAAATATTTCAATGCTCAGTTACGTCAGCGACCGAACCTGGTACATACCGTCAACGTCTTAGTTCTTCAATTGATATCGGAAAGACTATACCAGAATCATCTTCCACGATTTAAAATTTCTCTTAAATGTTGAACCAATCATAAACATTTTCTTAATCGGTACTTATAAGTCGGAGTAATCTATCTGATACCGTCTTCTTTGCTCCTGACAAATAGGCTCTAACCATATCAACTCTTCTTGATTCGTGTACATACTTTTTCATAATATCATACACCTTGAAAAATTAAACCACAAAATTGCACTATACCGTCACTAACCAATGAAATAAATAACTTTATAAGATTATACACTTACACCACTCAAAGGCACTTTAAGAACACTGTCTCCTACAACGATAAAGTCGAAAACTAAACTAAAAATTTAACCAAATGAAACAATGAAGTATTCGGCTTGTTTTATACCAGGTGCGAAGATAGTCGGCGTATCCGCTTTCAAAGGCGCGATGCAACAGAACAGCGGGGGCTAACCTCTGTTGCACCTCGAAAACGTTCCGAACATAATGGAATTCTACTTAAATTTAAACTGTTCACGGTTTAATTTTGTTATTTTATTTATTTTGGATTAATTGATATGCACGGATTTGCTGCTGAGGTGGTTGAATAAGAAAAAGATTTGAAACATACTTTATTTCTGTACATACCAATTTTAATTATATTAAATCTACTGTACGTAGTGACAGTAGTATACGTCAGCTAAACTAGGTCAATGTTATTGACACTGAGATTCACAAGTTAAATACATACACTGCTTCAAAATAATAGTAGATTTAAGAAAATATATTTCATGCCAGTCAGATTAGCATTTTTATTTATTTATTATGTTTGTTTTTTAAAACAACAAAAAATAATTATTTTAAAACAATAATTTATTTACAATTAGTAACGTATCTACCTACCTATATTGGTTAATATTTAATAAATCATGTGAAAATGTGTTTTTTAATCCTCGGCGTTTCGTCCACATTAACATAAAAAAATATATGGTGACTTTAAAATAACACGTCGTTGTCATATTAAAGCAATCTGTTTTCACTAAAGTATTTTTCATTAGTTTCGCTGTCTAACAGTTGATTAAAAAAAAATTCACATTTATTTACATATCTGCGTACGCATATTAATTAATATTTAATAAATCATGTACAATTTTTTTAGAAATGATAAAATCAACAACAAAATTAAGGGTGAAAATTTTTTTAGTGATTTTTGAAAGGCTGTAATTTCGTGAATAATGGTCGTATCAAGAAAAAAAAAAGCGTCTTGAAGCTTGAATATTCTAGTTGAAAGTTTCCTTTCCTGAAAAATTTTATTCAGGAAAGGAAAACGGTTGTACCGATCGATATCAAACTTTACAGTTCTCATGGGCATGTATTGAGCTAAAAAAAACCTACAAACATTGGTACTTTTCGTAATATTTTCAAAGTAGTCGTTGATTTTCCAAAACAGCAGAAAAAGTCATTTTTTGCACGTTTTCAAATTAATACCGACTATAAAAAAAAATTCTCAAAGATACCAAAAGGCCCTTGAAGAGAATTGATTCAAGTTTCCAAAACCCATCTTTTACGTTTTAACCTTCCATTTTTCGGCTATATCTTGTTCTTTTTTCTGTAAACGATCTATTCACGGGTTTTCTGCATCATCTCACGTAATAAAGTACGTAGATAATGATGATTAAATTTTTAAAAACGAATTTTGTAAATCTCGGATTCGTGATCAGTGACCCCGAAAACCCCCGTATACCAAATTTGGCGCAAATGTGTTATTTTTTGAAAATTTGTTCGCTCGCCATCTTGAATTTTGCAAGATTGACCTCGAATTCGTGATCAGCGACCCCGAAAACCCCCTTATATCAAATTAGGCGCGAATGTATTATTTTTTGAAAATTTGGTTGGCCATCTTGGATCCACCATCTTGAATTTTGCAAAATTGACCTCGGATCCGTAATCAGCGACCCCGAAAACCCCCGTATTCCAAATTTGGCGCGAATCTGTTATTTCTTAAAAATTCGTGATACCTGACTTTAATTGACCTGTTTTTTGATGTTAGAAAACGAACCATCAATTCTGACCGCGGAATCATGTTCGGCCGGGTCTTAACCATATAAATGAACATTTGAATATAGAAAAAAATATTGTATTTTTCGTGCATTTTTGCCATTTTTGACTTGTTTTTTGAGAAAAAAAACTGACTTCACTTAATGTTACACCCTGTATATCTTAATCCATGCGTAAAGAGTTATCTTAATCCGATACCTTGATTGGCGCAGGCCATCCATTTCACGTCTCTGACGTCGGAAACTTCTCTACCAATGAGGTAAGTGAATACTCTGGCCTTGGCCTTCATATGATCAGACAAGTTACCCCAGTTGTATTTTTCGAAAATTTCTTTGTAATTGTATTGGACGCCGTCAGTCACCAACATGATGGCTTGGCTGCAGTTGGCTCCTGAAAAATAACAAACGGGTTGTCGAGTGAGAAGAACATTACCACCTAAACTACAAAACTTCACATTTAACGTACCATTGTGTAGTAGCCACACATAAGTTGTTTTTTTCAGTGTCTAATTGTAAATGATAGTATGGCATTTGCATTGTTGTTGGTTTGATTTAACAAATACAACAGCTGTTACAGATTAATTGCTTCATACGTGTGATACGTGTTTATTGTCTTGCATCTCAGTATGTATTGTGTGATAAAATATCAGTTCACTATTTCGGTCTCTCGAGAGATAAAGATACGTTGTGGTTTCGGTGTTCGCTAATTTTATGAAGTGACGTCATACGCGAACATTTAATGCCCTTAATCTGGATAGTAATAGACAGAGTTATCAAGGAATTTTACCTTTCTGATTCTCCCTGTATTCTTGAAGCAGCTCAAAAGCTGTTATGAGCGCCAGAGAGAAGTTAGCAATCTGTTCCGTCTTGAAGTTTGTCATGCTCTCTTTCAACACCCTAACATTAGCCAAATTTGCCTGTAAAAGAGACGGTACAATCGAGTGTAACAAGAAGATCTACCAACCTGGACCAATTTCTTGTCGAAACACTCCACCAAGGGATCTGTAGTGTTGCTGAAAGTGTATATGTTAACGTAATCGTTATTTCCTAAAGTGTCTAATATGTTATGGACCACATGTCTAGCTATCTCTCTCCTCATCCCTGTCATGGACCCAGATCTGTCGACTAGGATGACGACGTCCTTCGGTGAAGCCGCCGCTTCGATGTACCAGGATCTTGTCCGGCAATCGAATAGATCTATGGGTTCCTGGGACCAAATCATGGCTGAAAATCCATGTCGTTAACGGGAAAATAAATGGGATTTGGTAACGTACCTGGAAATTGTCTCATGAACCCTGTGGAACTACAAAAATACTGCCATGACAGTGTTGGGTCATTGTTGTAGTTGTTTTTGAAGAAGTGGTCTAATTTTTCCGACCAGTATATGCCAAATATGACGTCTGTCGCTAAAAGATGCAAAACATGGTTATATTTACACTAATTTGTTACCTTCCAAGGGTGCTTACATCTTTCGTAAACGTTACTAGGCACGTGGACGGCACTGTAGTTGGTATTCACGGGAATATTATAAAATTGTCTGTTTCTGTACAAAGGCAACTTTGATTTGTCCTGCTTCTTCGTCTCCCTGGCTTGCGGATCTTTTTTCGTTCCATCGCTGACCTGGAACCAGAAATATTACCTCAAGGAACTGTTACCGAGCCCTTGCTGCATTTTTAAGTATTAAAACGACTTTCATTTACCTCTGGTGGTTCTTCGGATTTTTCTTCTTTCGCGGAACTGTCCTCGGGTGAATCCTGATTCTGATCCTGGTCCTGTTGGTATCCGTCTACTTCCTCGGGTTGGACCATCGCCTGGTACTGACCTCCTAGGTGGTTCGCGGATATGAAGGAGTCGTCGTAGCGGAGTTCTTGAGGTTCTAGATCTGATTCCTTTACAAAACAAATATGTATCTTTGCTCTGTGCAGGTTTGGCGATACTTACCTTCGTAGTTTCTTCAGTGGAGGTGTTTTCCAGAGAATTTTTCAGGTTTTTGGCGTTGTAGAATTGAAAGTCGTCTGTGACTTTGCTTTCTTTCTCGTCCTGAGCCGATTCTTCTGCTTCGTGGGCGATTCTCTGATAAAAAAAGTTTAGGTTACTTTCGATCGAAGATAACGTCGTATTCTCACCTTGACTATCTCTATTTTCTGTTTCATCATGTTGGAAATGTTTTCGTGTATATTCCTCAAAAGGGCATCCCCCTTCTCAACTATAACGGTGGTGTCTTTATAGCTCTAAAAAATTATAATATATTTTTTTTCTAGAGATACTCATTACCGAGCCCATTACTTACATCTTTGACCTTAGTTTTCCTAGTAACCAATTCGCCGAAATGCCAAAGCTCTCCTCCCAATTTTTGGGCCCAGTTCCTAACTCTAAAACAAAAGTGGTGCGATTTGTTTTTCTCTGTTAATGTCATCTCAAAAAATTTGTGTCGTTGGTTAGGATAATGATGTATATAGGGTCATACTTTTAGGCTGGCTTCCTTGGATGAAAATAAGGTGACTTAAATCAATTTACTTTAGTATAGTCTTTCCGAAGTCAGTTGAACATGTATAAAAACTCCTAGCAATACAATTTAATGAGTTTCATAAGCGTCCCTTAAAAAGTTTTTTGTTAAAGATAGAAAATAATAATTTATATATAGTGTGTAGAAAATTTCTATTGCATGTTCATTTGGCTAACAACATAAACTAGTGGAAAAAATTAAGGGATCAAATAAAAAATCTTAATTTTTGGCGATTTTTCAAATGGCTGTATCTTTCATAAAAATGGTCGTATTGGAGTAAAAGAAAGCAATTTGGAGTTTGAAGTTTCTAATTTTTGGATCTTGCAAAAAATTTTTTTTCAAGTAACACGTATCGCGCAGTCTTAATGAATCATCGAAAAAAATTTTTTCGAAATTTTTTTCGATCTTATTTTTGGTGTACGGACTTGAAAAAAATGTTTCCAACTTAACCACCTTATGGATTAGATAGGTTGTTCATTTAGCTTCAATTTCTTTTTTTTTTTTTTTAATCTCGATACGACCATTTCTCGCTGTGCTATCGGACTTTGAATGTTGTCTTTGTTCATCGATATCTCAGAAACCAATGGTTACACAGAAAATCGACGGTGGGTTTCAGAAACTTGAATGAATTCTCTACAAGGTCCTGGCACGGTTTTTTAGAAAAAAAAAATTATCCTTATCATGACTGAAAAATCGTAAAAAATAGGACTTTTAGGGGTCTTCTAGAAAATCACGTGCCACATTCAGAATATTGGGAAACTGACTAATGTTAAGTGTGCCTTTTTTTGTTTCATTCGATTGAATTTTTTAAAAAATTAAAGAATCACGTTTTTTTGCCTTTAAATGCTCATAATCTGTAAAAAAATGAAAAAAACATTTTTTTCCTGATTTTTTTTACATTCTTATTGCAGAAAGCGTTCGAAATTTTGAAAAAAAAACATTTTTTTTTAAACCGTGCCAGGACCTTGTAGAGAATTCATTCAAGTTTCTGAAACCCACCGTCGATTTTCTGTGCAACCATTGGTTTCTGAGATATCGATGAGCAAAGAGAAAATGATTTCATTCAAAGTCCGATAGCTCATCGGGAAATGGTCGTATCGAGACCAAAAAAAAAAAGAAATTGAAGCTAAATGAACAACCTATCTGATCCATAAGGTGGTTAAGTTGGAACATTTTTTTTCAAGTCCGTACACCAAAAATGAAATCGAAAAAAGTTTCGAAAAATTTTTTTTCATGATACTCATTAAGATTGCGCGATACGTGTTACTTGAAACTTTTTTTTGTAAGATCCAAAAATTAGAAACATCAAGCCTCAAATTGCCTTTTTTACTCCAATACGACCATTTTTATCAAAGATACAGCCAAAAATCGCCGAAAATTAAATTTTTTTTTTATTCCTTAATTTTTTTCACTAGTGTATTTTAATTATTTATGTCCTCTAACAAATTTATTATATTGATGGTAAATTTTGGTTATGACAAATCAAAAAACATATACATTACATATCATTAAAATATATTACTGCACTGCACTGCTAGGCAATTTGGCAAGAACTGAAATTTATGGCTAGTAGCCCGGTGCGACTGTGTTTGTACGCCGTTTGCTCGCGCGCATTCTTCTACTGGGCGTATACATTTCTACCACCTCCACGTTTAGTTCGACCAGACCTGTATATAGATATGGCTAAAAAGTAAAAAACTTTCCAGGTTGCAAATTTGAAATTAAAAAAAAAATGATAGATTTCAATGTATTATTATGAAATCTACCATGAAAAAAATCAGTGCGATTGTGGAATATGCTCGGGATCGTCCAGACCAATAATTAGTTAATTTGTTTATAAGGCCATAACTTTTAAATTATTCAACATTTCGTGTGAGTTATTAGACAGTGATAAGGAATGTGAGGATGCGTTGCCAAAACGTTCTGGTAATAATAACGCAGTTTATAAATGTTTAATTCAAAGGTCATAAATAAACTTCTTCTGTTTATAACATTTGATCTAATCAATATTTTTTGACGCTCGAGGGCTAGTTTTGTAAGTCTTTTGAAGACGAAAAAAAAAAGTTTTCTCTGGGAAATGAACGAAAAACGTGAATTTACCTAAAAATTATACAGTTAACCAGCCTGTAAACAATCTTCCCCTCATTTTTATGACTGTGGAAACTAATATGTTAATGTACATAATAGTTAGCATCTTTATTGATAAATTCAGCTTGTCGAAATAAATAGTCGCGAAATGGTCATTTCCCAGCTCTTTTTCCTGGCCTATTAGTTTCCTATATCTTTGTACAACGATATGTAAATTCTAAAGTATCTCTCCTCTATTTAAAGACGGTACGTTGATATAAAAATGAGTCTATTCCTGTTCTTTCTAATGTGAAATATAGGCAACTCCAACACCCGATTCCTAGTCTTAACGACTTGTATTTCATAGAACCCAAATATGTTTCAGCAAGCGATATATAAATACTCGGTGAGAAATTTTACCGCTAAGCAATGATTTTTATTGCCGTTTCAAACACGCTTGGATGTTAGCTGTTAATTCGTCAGGTCCCTGGCAATAGATATGCTCTTGTATACGTTTCGCTGACTGTGTAATTGATTTCTGTATACGAATTTCCTTTCAAACAATTCGGGAAATGAGACAATTGTTGATATTTTGGATTCCGCGCAAATACCATTCCGACTCGTTTCGGCAATTAAAATTTGGATCGATATTAACGACAAGCGGTACCGGCGTAACATAGACCGCGCGTAAAGCGTTCTCCCATACAGCAAATAATATTTTACAAATGTTATTTGTCAAATGTTTCCTAAACTAAACGTTTTAGAAATGTTTTTAAATCGTTGCTGAGGCCACAGAAGCAACATTCTGAAAACGGTAACAGATGGTTCAGATTTGATTAAAATAAATATTTTCTAAATATTTCTCAATATTTAAATAAATATGTGCTTAAACTTTAATTTAGTATATTGACAGTGTTTCATTAAATATTATTAAAATGTTTTGAAACATGTACAAGAGCATTATTTTAATAAACAAACAAAAAAACTGTAATACTTAAAAATTAAAGGATGAAGAAAACCCCAAATTTTTAGGTGATTTTCAAAAGGCTGTAACTTGGCGAAAAATGGTAGAGCAATAAAAAAAGCAATTTAAAGCTAGTTTTTTAGTTTCAGGATCTGAAAGTAAAATATTTTTATCCTTGATCACCATCATAGGAAATCCATCGAATCGAATTTCAAAATTTTTGCTTCTTTTTCGAAAGGTACACGGCTTCAATCCTTGTCACCTCACCTGCGGAATTTCTGTGCTGAATGAAAATGTTGGTAATTCGCAAGGACATTTAAATAAAGATGTCCTTGGTAATTCAGTTTTACATATCAAAAACTCAAGCATGTGAATGGTACGAAGCATTCAAACATGGTCGAGAGGTGGTTGATATTTGCCACGTTTTTGTCGTCCTTCAACGTCTTCAACTTAAGAAAACATCGATAAATTGAAATAACCTTGCTTGCAAACCGTCATTATAGTTCCAGAGAGCTGGCATATGAACTACATACAGGGTGGGTCACTCGGTGGTCCATTAGTGTGAGAAAGTAAAATAACTCCCTTGTTATTCGTAATACAGAAAAAAAGTTTATATAAAAGATGTACAGAATCAAAAAAACTGAAGGCCAAAATTAATTTGAAATATACAGGGTGACTAGTAAAAACGGGACACGCCAAATATTACATTTTTTAAATGGAACACCCTGTACTTTTTTAAACATATGGATTTCTGAGAAAATTCTATATATGGCAATATAAACAGTTTAATATTTTAGTGCGGGGTTGCCATGTTATGTGGAAAATTCTTTGAATTTTGGAAAAAACATGACCTCGAAGTAGTTGTATTAACTCAACTACTAACACTTGGAGCAAAAATATTTAACAGAGTTATAGACAAATGTTATGCAAAGGCTCCTATATTAGCTAATATCGCTGTCTTATAAAGAGTATTTTTTATAATAGGATCATTTTAAGAAAATTCAAACTTGATTTTCTAAACTTTTCAAATGGAACACCCTGTATTTTATTGTTCTGTTTTATTCACATATTACTCCACTTCAACTTTTATTAAGTATCTGCTACACCTTAAGTTGTTAGTTTTTAAGATATGGCAACATTTCTGGAAAAACCTAATTTTTATTTTCGGTCGCACGAAATGGCTTTGGAAAAAACTGTCACTTTGTGTCAACGTGTCAGTTCATAATTTATCATTTCATTTTGAGTTAATTTTATTAGTTAATATTTATTTGTGGTATTCTATAAAATAATAAAAATTAAGTTCTTTGGGAAATGTTGCTCGGTATATCTTAAAAATTAACAATTTTAGATATAGAACATGCTTAATAAATGTTGAAGTGGACCGATATGTGAATAAAATAGAACAATAAAATACAGGGTGTTCCATTTGAAAAATTTTAGAAAATCAAGATAAACTTTCCAAAAATAATTGTATTATAAAAAATGCCCTGTATAAAGTATAGATATTAGCTGATGTAGGAGTCTTTGCCTAACATTTGCCTATAACTCTGTCAAATATTTTTGCTCCAAGTGTTAGTAGTTGAAAGTTAATATAACTTCTTCATGGTCATGTTTTTTCCAAAATTCGAAGAATTTTCTACATAACTTGGCAACCCCGCGCTAAAATGATAAACTGTTTATATTGCCGTATATAGAATATTCTCGGAAATCCATATGTTAAAAAAAATTTAATATTTGGCTGTCCCGTTTTTACTCATCACCCCGTATGTATCAAATTAATTTTGTAGTTTAGGTTTCTTGATTCTGTATAACTTTTATATAATCTTTTTTTCTGTATTATGAGTTATTTTATTTTCTCATACTAATGGCCCACCCTGTA